TTGGAAGCCTCCAAACGTCGTAGCTTTGAGGAAATAGCCACTGGTCCCTTATTAATCCAAGTGTGAACACTTCTAGATATGGTAAGTTTGAAGACAAGGGAATCCGCTTGATCCTGTGGTTGCTGGTGCATGGAAAGATGCTATCTGACTCTTCTGGATGGTTAGATGTGTCTCCTGAATGATTAGATATCTCTCCTGGTCGCCATAGTCTTGTTTGTAAGTATTTAAATCCGTGAGTTTCCAAATAAGGCAAGCTAAGAATCCTCCAGTTTAGAAATTGAATAACTTTTAAACCATAATGAATTTTGGTATGAATCCAATTCGCCAAGCTTCTTTGTTGAACCAAAATTCCATAGCAAGTTGATTTGTAGATTAAGTCTTCTGCTTCGGCAGAAATCCTCCAATAAATGCTCGCATGTCTAAATCGGATAATCTGGAAATCTCCTGATTTGTAAATTGGATAACTCTTTCGTTTGAACTCCTTTTGATCTGATTCTTCTTTGAGGAGATTTTTAATTGAGTTTAGAATATTCTCCAAGTAGCTTCATGCGTTAAATCATCGTGGTTGAGCTGATAGGCTTTAAACAGTGAACATATGTTCTTGTCAGGTCTATTTAGTATTGTGCAATCGGTTTGATTGAGCTTTGGTTCATCAGCTGGTTTGATGACCGCATCAAAAAGACTATACTTGACTCAACTCTCCAATTTTAAGCTGCCACATCAGCGTCCTCTGCTTTCTTCATTCTTATGTTCATGATATAGTGCCTATCACAGGTATAGGAGAGATTACACTTCAGCTGGTCAACCCATGAGCACTCAAGGCAAAAGACAGAGGCAGTACTAGACTACTAGCCGAGGCTTTCTAGTTCTGACCTGTCTTATAGGATTCTTCAGAGTTACACTAGTGTAGTTAACCACAACATTGTCATGGCATGGGTGTGCTCAAACTAGAAACCTTATTTTGGCTAACTCATTTTTATTTTTACTAGGTAATTATTTTCAACGTAAATGTCTTTGATTTGGTTTATATCTTAAAACTCAGGTAGTTTGCATTATATTTAACTAGGGTTATATAGTTCACATTGTTTTGGCGTTATATAGTTCACATTATATCTGACTTGTTTAAGTAATGTTTGCGTAATGTTGCTATATCATATTTGCTTCAAGAATATTTCTAGATGGAAAAGTTCAAACTGTATATCTTTCATTCCAGAATTCCCTTTCGAAACATTTTGTTCTTTCCGAATAACTTTCAAGTATCCAATTTATTCATAATTATATGATCAAGTTTGCAACTTCTTGAACTAACTTCAATAAACTCCACATAACTATGAGAAATCAAGCACAACCACATAAGCAATTACCTCATTTTAAGATAAACATTATGATACACACTATTTTAACTTCACCTAGAGAGTGAAGCTTTCAATAGGCGAATATTTTGATTTTATAATACCCTAGGCACCAAATGTATGGATATGCGAATGTAGTACGCAGGGGTTACACTACGCTATCGAAAAAATACTTATCCTAGACAATAGAATTAGTTTTTGGTTTTTGTATGCAATAATTTTATGCAAATGCAAGACT